GTACACCAAAAATTAACGTATCCCCCAAATATCGACGTTTACTCAACGTTCCTGTGCAGACTGGGTAGTTACCTAATATGGAACACTTTTTCATTTGTGCATTAGAAATAAAACGGTAAGAGAGCAAGTTTGCCTTATTTTCCTCGATCTGTATGCGTCATGAAACATTTACGGCCAAGCTATCAATAAATTCCAAAAATTTAGGAATAATTGTGTCAATGTTCCCATGAATTTTAGAATATAGTGTATGAAATCATGAGTGTATACCATGTATTTTGCCGTGCGATATCCAAGTGGACGAAAGAAGCATTGAAAACGCACCTGACGGCACATGCTCTTGGACACGTCTCGATCTCTTCTCTGAGATTAGCAGGACTCGTAAGAGAAATTTCATACACACACGGTGTCTGATGCCGTCGGACGCCAAGAAAAAGGACCATGAGATTTGCTCAGGAGAAGAAATCCTCTGTCCTGTGTCGTTTAGCTGGTGATTGATTTAAGCATCCGACAAGGTAAATATCTTGCTTCTCCTTGTCTCCCAGCTTCCAAAATCCATGAAAAATGTGCCCTTGGCACTCTGCTTCAATGGAGGATGGACATTTGAAAAAGGCAGCACTGTCTAATGGCAGTAAAGGTTTTCTCCAAAACCACAGTTCCAGTCTCCCCCACACAAGCTTCGCCACTGTTAGGTTTTCTCTTTCTTTTGGCATCTTTCTGGAGATTTGGATGACTCGGTCTCTTTCTTCCCTTTTCCTCCAGCCTAGTTTCCTCCTCACTGTCGCTTTCATTGCGAAAGGATGGAATTGTTCCGAGGTGCAGGTACTAATTGACTACTCATGGAGGCAGCCATATTTAAATTGACAGGCAGTTGGCCTGCCATCTAGTGAGAAAATAGGAAAAACTTCTTTTCCTTTGATGAATACAAATACTGTCCACCTGCTCACCACACTATCGTATGAAAAGTCATGATGAGCAGCGCATGGACATGGATATGGATATTTTTCCAGAGAACTCCTCAATTTCTGTTCGCCACACGAATTCACGTGCTGAACCTGTCACTGCGATGATTCGAGCCACCGACGTCATCATTAGGGACGAAACGATGGCTACGGTGGGACGGGCGTGGCGAGACTCGATGGACGGTGACCGGTTCGGTGGGGAAGTACTTCTGTTGAGTGGCGATATTCGCCGAGTGTTGCGAGTCGTCCGCGAAGCATCTCGCGGTTGAATCAATGAAACTTGCATCAAAATGAGCTCGTTGTGGTCATCGTTCTGGATGATTCCGTCGACTGAAAAGATGCGTGCTGCTGCAAACGAATTCCGGTTTACTCCATTTTTGCTGTGAAACATTTCCACGAGTACAGGGTGGTCCAGCTGAGCTCTCCGTGCATTTACTAGGCGATTGTATTTCCTATAATATGGTGAACGAGTGTTTGGGCAACGACATAGGGTCTGCCATGCCGAAGTGAGAAGCAAACGCGCCCATTCCGTGTCCCAAGAATGAGCATTCCCGTTTGGTCGACCAGGACGCGTCGTCCCGATCGGCAGGCGGCCTTTTCCCTTTGAATTCTTCGACTAATTCAATACTTTGGATCTCTTTCCGCACGCCCTAAACCTAAAAGTTTGTGTCATCCCGATGCGTGCAAGGAATCTTACGATCGGGAACGACCTTCGCAATGGCACGCTCATGATCGTGCGAGATCTGAATGCAAATGTCTTCATACTAGGGGGGTTCTCAAGTGAAAATGGGGCAATGGCTGTTACTCATAGTCTAAGGGTAGCCTAGGTTAGGGAGACCAAAAGTCCCCCTTTCATTTGAACACATTCTGTGTTCACTTTCTGCGTAGATTCTCACTGGACGCATCAACCCAAGTTAGAGCATTCCATCTTTGCCAACGTCGATTCCCCATCGAGCTTATCTAAGGTACGACTATGACCGAGTCTCAGGGACAGACATTTCATCGAGTCGTATTAATACTTAGGGAGCAAGTATCCTTCTATGTCACCTGTGCATAGCCTGCTCGCGTGTCCGCTATGAATATTCGCTTAAGATTCAGGTTATCGATGGATGGAAGCAGGGCGAAACTGATACTGGCACCATTAATACTGGTCCCTCGAGAAGCACTTTGTCGAATCCGTTCGTCGGAATTGTTTTTGTTCATTACGTTGTAAACTTTTCGTTTCGTTCCCGTGTTTGTCCCGTTTCTTGATCTTCCACGATTCCTTCCATATTTATCTACTTTACTCGTGCTGAACTGATTTTGGTTATCATTTGCGCATATTGGCAGATATAACACGCTGCGCCTCAGCATCTCTGATGCATGACGTTCCATCGCGAACCGTTGATCAAGTTTTGGCAGCGGGAATGTGGCTAAGACTGTTCTTGTTGGATGAGCAGTGAGAAAAAAAGTATCCGTACGGGTAGAATGCCGTTAGTTGGCTTTGGAAAAGCGCAGAGATTTCAACCAATTTGAATTCAAAATTTGGTGAAAGATCTGTTAGTGTGGACCCCAACCACCCCTGAAGGGCTCCATCCGGCCCCAACCTTAATCGAGTTCGACACCCCTGTTATATACCATAGTCAAAGCTGAAGACATTGGAGACACCTTCTTCACCTTTGAACTGCCAGCAAGAGAGGCATCGAACTCTCTGGAAGCAGCTGTCAGCAAAACATAACGAACTTGGGACTGGAGGAGAATCCACCATGCACGTTTATTGTGAAGAGAAGTGTCTTAGTTCTATGGAAAACGATATGTTGATAAACGCTTCAAAGACGAATCCGATGGGAGATACCAGAGCAATCTAACAACGTTTTAGACTGTTCCTGAGGAGTTTCCCAGAGTGCCACACCCTTGTGTGAACTTTTGGAAAGTGACTCGTGCAGATGAAGACAAGGGCTAAGGAATATCGAGAACTCTTCCGAACGGATTACCTGGTGGACGAGCCTTGATAAGTCAGACTACGCACCGAGACGACAGACGGCGATGTCGCCATATCGATGCAAACATCGGAATCGGGCAACTGCACCGAGAGCATGCGAGTTCGAAGATGTTCCACACGCCGGGTGCCTCGTCTGCCGAAACCGTCGAGAAAGAGCATGCCAGATCGACGCGTAGCAGTTGACGATCGTAGAAGAACTCGGGTCACAACCGAGCGGGAGGCCATTTCCGTCCAAATGTGCTAGGACTCGATCGAGACCATGTCTAGAAGGGTACTGGTAGCGTTGAAGGCCCAAGGCAAATACACCGCGTATTAATGAATTCGAATTTATGTATGTCCAAGTGTGAGGGACAAAACTGCGTGAATGCCATGGTTCACTTTGAACAGCTGCAGCTCAGCCAATCGGAGGCCAGTTGACACGGGAATAGCACCAATCAAAAGCCAGTATGATTGACTGGAATTTAAGTTAAATTGAACTCATTTTACTCGAGTTATGAGTCATCAACTGGAAGTGGGTCAAACATTGACAGTTTTGTCTCTCACTGCATATTTACTACTAGCTATAGATTTTTCCCGTACTCAGCCATTAAACAGGTACTTCTGAGGGAAGTTTAACTTTCCTGTCTCTGTTTCGTTGGATGAAAGAAAGTTCAGGAAAATGGGACTTAAAGAAAGAGCCCTGATGGGTTTTAGCGAAACATTTTTTTTCTTCTAGAATTTAGACTAAAGGAACTCCATGCCACCCAGTTCCAGTTTTATACGTTTCCCCATTTTGAATTAGCGTCATTCAGACCCGATCGTCTATATATATTAGAAAAGTAGAATTTCTTCTTTACGCATCTATCCATGAGGTACTTATTTGCCAAGTGTTTTAACTTTCATGCGCCCTCTGTTTTGCTGGGTCAGAAAATTCGGGAAAATACGCCTTTTGCAAAATATGTGCCCTGAGCCATCTTAACCAAAACGTACCATTTTTTTCTTACCGAAATCCATCTTCAGTGAACTACATGCCCACAACGTTTCAATATTATACGTTTGTCCATTTCGCTGGTGAAAAAAACATGTTTGGAAAGCCGACCCAACTTAACGCTATGCCCGGAGGGGATGCACCATGAAAGTTGAATACTCCCTCAGCTCAGTAATATCATGTCATTTATAAGTGTGCCAAGTTTCACCTTTCCATTTCTGTGCAATTCGCCACGACAATTTTTTTTTTCAAAATGTCGCACCTTGAAAAAATTCCCCCAGGGGATGTATCGAGACTTAACATTTTTATTTAACTCCTCGTCTAAATAGTCGCATTCACGTAAAGTTTCAGCTTTCCATGTTCAACAGTTTAACTGATGCAAAAAATCTTTCTTTCTGGACTAGCGGAGATGATCAAAATGTTCTCTGTGAGCCAATATGCAGTGCTCGAAACGATTCTTTAGTTCATTACTGACGGCTGCAGGTGTTGCTGGTGTGATTTGCTGAAGAACAAGAGTGATACGGTCTTTAAGGTCTTCGAGGAATGCTGGTTCCGTCAGACACACATGCCGTTTAACATAGACCCAGAGGAAGGAAAACGGGGGAGTGAGATCAGGTTATCGAGGGGGCCATGACACAGGTCAACCCTGTCCAAACCGCAGATTACCAAACAGGTTATTCAGTTTTTGACGGATCGTGAGAGCAAAGTCGGGAGTTTCACAGTCCAGCTGGAACCACATTCTGCGCTGTGCATTGGGTGGCAAATCATGAAGAAAATAAATTACAAATTTCAAACACTGGCCCAGACGTTTGTTGGTCCACATGCACTTCGAAGAAGTGAGGTCCCACAACCATGCCACCAAGCAGGCCACACCACGCCATCACCTTCTCGGCGCCAAGTTTTAGGATTTTTCCATTAGGGCATTCAGATAGCGCGACATTGTCTTCAGGGGAAATAGTGACAATTGCCCAAAATCCGACTAAATGATTGAAGGGTAATGTGAATCAGTGTGTTCAGCGTCAATTCATAGAAGAAAAGTGCCCAAACTGAATTCCAATTCCTATAGAATTCCCATAGGCCATTCTCGCATGGGTTAATCCAGTCGATTTCTGGACAAACGCGAGTGGATAATCAATTGAATCCAAACCTCAGCTTCACTTTCCAACTGGGATTCCTAGACTTTACGAATTCGCTTTCATCCTCCTACCGGGGTTACATATTTAGAGAGGAGAAAAGCCTATCCATGACGAATGTGGCTTGCAGGGAGTTTTTCCCCGCAAAGGAAAAAGGATTTGTGAGGATCCCGCATTATGTTGTCCCGCTGCTTCACACGAACACACCAGCATGAGGACAACGTGGACGAAAACAGAATGCTGCTCTCCCCTCGGCGAAACCTCAACAGGAAAATGAACCGCTCGTGCTCTCGAGAGGAAGTGCGCGGTATTCGCCTACTCACGCGCGAAACTCCGAAAAAACCGCCAATCCCAAAACATGTAAATAACTCCAGCATGGATTGTGCTTCAACAAGAGTCTTTATTCCAAGGAGATGCCATAATGATCCAAGGAAGGGCTGGAATCCCTTAACCAGACTCATAACATGCACTGCCCCAGCAAAATTTCCAAGCCGTACAAATATTGCATTTACAGGTTTCGCTGCCTTTCTCGCCCAAGCAAGCTCCCGTTTCACACTTCTGCCTTTGGCATAAGGCAACGCACTTTGATTCCTCGCATCCCCCGGCATCAACACTCTCCCACAAAGCGGCAAGGATGAGCATCGTTGCCAAGATTGTCGTTGCCAGCTGGACCTTCATTTTCTTCTCCCACTCTGCAACAAAAATTCCCACTTCAATACTATATCGGAAATGAGCCAAGACTCCAAGAGACAACAGTGGCAGGAAATAAAAGCTCAGCTCCTAGATATTTAGAATAATTTTAATTCTGACTTTGGCCCAGAGGACCTCAGCATCAACATCAATTACCGAAACAAGATGCAGTATGTTAGCGTTCCGAAATGATGATTCATCAAACCTCACCAAAACGTCGAAAATCGGAGAGGCTCACGGAAGAAGCTCACCTTTCGACGACTGAGAAGCTCGCAAAGGGTGCAGGTCAGTTGCTTCCTTCGATGTGGTTGCTGTGTGAATGGGAATAGCGGCTGGAGCTTATATACTTGGAAGTGACCTTCACGCGATGACATTTCCACTCCACAACAGATCCTCGCGTCATCCTCTGCAGCTGCATCCAATAGCAGCGCAAGATTTCAGCTCCCAAATCCTCTTCCACGTGCCGATTCTCAGGTCTGGAGGAAGGGAATTGACTCCCCACCGTCATCCTTCGGGGGCTCAGCCAATTCCTTCCGCTGCCATTCCATTAAAAATGTCTTGGGATTATTCCTCATAGCATCATTTGCTCCTCGACCTCCGAGCTCGCCGACATGATTCAAGCGCTTCAGCAGCGTGGTAGCTGCTCACATTCCTCGTTTTCCTCCGCTTTATCGCTCAGTCTGTTTAAACGCATTCATCCTATTCTGGCTACTCGTCCATTCGGGGTTTCAAGGGAAATCGCGATTTAGCCCTGCATATCTTGTATCCATTTCAAATTGCGGAGCGCAGCGGAAATTCGCGAAATGACAATGCAGAGATTGGATACCAGCTGAATTCGCGTCGGAATTCACCTTCCTACCAATATGGGAAAATAATATCTGATTCGAAAGGCAATCCAGGAAATTCATGCATACTGAAGAGTCTCCATATTGGAGAATCTTCAAAATAGGCCCGATATGGAAGGATAACCTTCTTGCACGTGAAATAGTCTATTCAAATTTTACTTACGTATTTTACATGACCGTCCCGTTACTCATTCCCCCCCCCCTGTAACAATATATTTGCTTGGGTAAAACGGAGAGACATTGAAAGCTGAAACGTGGCATGGACGTTCCTCTCGAGACGATGAATTCAGGCTAACAGTAAAATTTTAGATCCATGCCCTGGGGTCATGTTTTTGGGGGCCAACGTTTTCAGGTATTTTTTTTTGTCCTGGCGTATTGAGCGAGTGTGGAAAGATGAATCTTGATAAATAACTACCTATTGGGATGCTGCGATCAGAAAAATTCAGACTTTGCAAGTAAATGCCCTGGGGGCACGAATTTCAAAGGGAGTTGTTTTCAAATAATTTGTTTGCATCAGTTAAACTGATGAACATGGAAAGCTGAAACTTTGCATGAATGTGACTGCTAAGACAAGGAATTAAAGAAAAATGTTAAGTCTCCATACATCCCCTGTGGGAATTTTTTCAAGTGACAATGTTTAAAATAAAATATTGTAGTTGCGAATTGGACAGAAACGGAAAGGTGAAACTTGGCAAACATATAAGTGACATTATTCACTTAAGGGAGTATTCAGCTTTCATGGTGCATCCCATCCATGTATAGCTTTTGGGTGGGTCAGCTTTTCCAAACATGTTTTTCCGCAGCGAAAAGGGGCGAGCGTATAAGGTTGAAACTTTGTGGGCATGTTCTCTGAGGATTGATTTCGGTAAAAAAAAAAAGAAGGTACTTTTCGGTTAAAACGCCTCAGGGCACGTATTTTGGAAAAAGGCCTTTGTTTCCCTAAATAGGCCTGAAAAGGTTCTGGAGTCAGTCCGACTAAAGGGGACTGACTCCAGAACCTCCATTCTTTTCAAGAATAGAGAACGGGAAGCGAAGTCAAATCCGATGGTAGGTCTTGAACCTGAGAAAAAATGCAGCTGCCATTTCTGATTCCATTGAACCATTGAACCCATTGGCTTCATGGTGAAGCGATTTTGAGCATTTCCACGAAATCCACCCCATGTCGCAGGTCTTCTTTTCTCGACATCCTGACGAGTCCTGGGCAATTGTCCGAAACTCGGGTCATCCAGCCATTACGCCAGACCAAACGTAAACAAGATTCATGAGGCATATGGAGAAATGGCTTCTGGCACAGGGGCACTCTGGCCGCATTTCATCCCTTCCACTGACGCGTAGAGATACGCGCCTCCTGGATCCGGAGAACCCCTTTCGTTCCCGTAAAGATTTCATGAGATCATCGAATGGATGGAACTTTCTTTTATTCTGTTCACGCACAGGAAATGATCAGAAATCCTGGTCCATTTCATGTGACCCACTGTCATTTTTTGCATTCCTTTTTTTTTGCTCTAAGTTTCTTCATCTTTGATTCTCTTTTGAAGATTACATTCATTTCCCTTTCATCTTTCAAGCATTGCGTTTCAAGTGCGGCTCTTTAATGTATAATGACATTGTGCCTTAATTATGCTTCCACGTGTACATTGGGACAAAGAGCGCATATTTTTCTTCATTGTAATTTGAGAGTGAAGTTTTATCCACTGAAATTAATTCTGATTGGTTTTGGTGGTGGTGTTTAAAGCCATTCCTTGTAGTAAATATACTTCGTGACCTGTTAAGGACATTTTTAGGGCACTTAATATTTTCGATCAACGGGAACTTTTCACCCTGCCTACTCTACAGCAACTGATGAGAGGAACATCTATGAATTTGAATTAGTGGCCCACGGTTGCAATTTATGAGAGGGCTGAGATTTTCATGAACTCAGAGACTGGTTGGGAACCTGGATATTTACTTTCAATGACACTTGGATATGCTTATGTAGGTACAGACGGATTTCTAAAAGTCGGTTTAGACAAGGGACTATCTATTCAACGCACCAAATCGGTTTTCGGGCAATTGTCAGAACTCGGACTGAAACGAGAGGCTCACTTCTCAACTAGTCGAATTTGGCACGAATTGCCTACATTCTTTTGGAACCAAAGCTCAACTCTGTTTTCATGTAGGGATTCCAAGAATTTCCNCGCTGTGTAGTGGCAGTGAATGGGAATAGCGGCTGGAGCTTATATACTTGGAAGTGACCTTCACGCGATGACATTTCCACTCCACAACAGATCCTCGCGTCATCCTCTGCAGCTGCATCCAATAGCAACGCATGGATTTCATCTCCCAAATCCTCTTCCACGTGCCGATTCTCAGGTCTGGAGGAATGGAATTGACTCCCTACCGTCATCCTTCGGGGGCTCAGCCAATTCCTTCCGCAGGTATTCCAGGAAAAAGGTCATGGGATTGTTCTTCATGGCATCGCATGCTCCTCGATCTCTGGGCTCGCCGACATGATTCAAGCGCTTCAGCAGCGTGGTAGCTGCCCCACATTCCTCGTTTTCCTCCGCTTTATCGCTCAGTCTGTTTAAACGCATTCAACTCGTCTATTCGGGGTTTCAAGGGAAATCGCGATTTTGCCCTGTATGGCTTATATCCATTTCAAATTGCGGAGCGCAGCGGAAATTCGCGAAATGACAATGCAGAGATTGGATACCAGCTGAATTCGCGTCGGAATTCACCTTTCTACCAATAGGGGAAAAATATTTGATTCGAATGACATTCCAGAAATTCATGCATACTGAAGAGTTTCCATATTGGAGAATCTTCAAAATTGGCCCGATATGGAAGGGTAACCCTCTTGCGCGTGAAATAATGTATACAAAATCTAGATATCTATATTTCACATGACCGTCCCGTTACTCATTCCCCCTCCGTAACAATATTTTTGCTTGGGTAAAACGGAGAGACATTGAAAGCTGAAACGTGGCATGGACGTGCCTCTCGAGACGATGAGTTCAGGCAAACAGTAACATTTTAGATCCATGCCCTGGGGTCATGTTTTAGGGGGCCAACGTTTTAAGTAATTTTTTTTCGTCCTGGCGTATTGAGCGAGTGTGGAAAGATGAAACTTGGTACATAACTACCTATTGGGATGCTGCGATCAGAAAAACTCAGACTTTGCAAGTAAATGCCCTGGTTGCACGAATTTCAAAGGGAGATGTTTTCAAATAATTTGTTTGCATCAGTTAAACTGATGAACATGGAGAGCTGAAACTTTACATGAATGTGACTGCTGAGACAAGGAATTAAAGGAAAAATGTTAAGTCTCGATACATCCCCTGTGGGAATTTTTTCAAGTGACAATGTTTAAAATAAAATATTGTAGTTGCGAATTGGACAGAAACGGAAAGGTGAAACTTGGCAAACATATAAGTGACATTATTCACTTAAGGGAGTATTCAGCTTTCATGGTGCATCCCATCCATGTATAGCTTTTGGGTGGGTCAGCTTTTCCAAACATGTTTTTCCGCCAGCGAAAAGGGGCAAGCGTACGTAGTATAAGGTTGAAACTTTGTGGGCATGTTCTCTGAGGATTGATTTCGGTAATAAAAAAAGAAGGTACTTTTCGGTTAAAACGCCTCAGGGCACGTATTTTGCAAAAAGGGGTATTTTCCCTAAATAGGCCTAAAAAGGTTCTGGAGTCAGTCCGACTAAAAGGGAGTGACTCCAGAACCTCCATTCTTTTCCAGAATAGAGAATGGGAAGCGAAGTCAAATCCGATGGTAGGTCTTGAACCTGTGAAAAAATACAGCTGCCATTTCTGATTCCATTGAACCCATTGGCTTCATGGTGAAGCGATTTTGAGCATTTCCACGAAATCCACCCCGTGTCGCAGGTCTTATTTTCTCGACATCCTGACGAGTCCTGGGCAATTGTCCGAAACTCGGGTCATCCAGCCATTACGCCAGACCAAACGTAAACACGATTCATGAGGCATATGGAGAAATGGCTTCTGGCACAGGTGCACTCTGGCCGCATTTCATCCCTTCCACTGACGCGTGCAGATACGCGCCTCCTGGATCCGGAGAACCCCTTTCGTTCTCTAAGGATTTCATGAGATCATCGAATGGATGGAACTTTCTTTTATTCTATTCACGCACAGGAAATGATCAGAATTCCTGGTCCATTTCATGTGACCCACTGTCCTTTTTTGCCTTCCTTTTTTTTTTGCTCTAAGTTTCTTCATCTTTGATTCTCTTTTGAAAATTACATTCATTTCCCTTTCATCTTTCAAGCATTGCGTTTCAAGTGCGGCTCTTTAATGTATAATGACATTGTGGCATAATTATGCTTCCACGTGTATATTGGGACAAAGAGCGCATATTTTTCTTCATTGTAATTTGAGAGTGAAGTTTTATCCACTGAAATCAAGTCTGATTGGTTTTGATGGTGGTGTTTAAAGCCATTTCTTGTAGTAAATAATCTTCGTGACCTGTTAAGGACATTTTTAGGCCACTTAATATTTTCGATCACCGGGAACTTTTCAGCCTGCCTACTCTGGAGCAACTGATGAGAGGAACATCTATGAATTTGAATTAGTGGCCCACGGTTGCAATTTATGAGAGGGCTGAGATTTTCATGAACTCAGAGACTGGTTGGGAACCTGGATATTTACTTTCAATGACACTTGGATATGCTTATGTAGGTACAGACGGATTTCTAAAAGTCGGTTTAGACAAGGGACTATCTATTCAACGCACCAAGTCGGTTTTCGGGCATTGTCAGAACACGGACTGAAACGAGAGGATCACTTCTCCACTAGTCGAATTTGGCACGAATTGCCTACATTCTTTTGGAACCAAAGCTCAACTCTGTTTTCATGTAGGGATTGCAAGAATTTCCTAGAGTACACATTACTGAATTAAAAAGCTTTTATTCTCCTACTAAGGTTCCAAACTTCTTCCTCCACAAAGGTACTCGGGATAATAAGAGAAAGCGAATACATGTCGGAGGTACTCGGAGATCCATTTCCCACCCGGTCTGATTTATTGAAAGCGTGATTTGCCCGTCTGCGATGACATTTAGTGAAAGATTTAGTGACATTTAAAAGAAGAGCATGCTAAAATACATATTAGATCATCCACAGTGTGGTCTCGAATAATGAAGAAGAGGCATATAATTACCGAATGGACTTGGCATAATGGAAGCTGAAGCTAAATGACCGAAGCTTGGTTTAATCGCCGTGCTCATCCTAAATCTGCATGGTGAGCAAGGCTTGACTAATGGAGTTCAAGTCTTAGTTGCTCGACTAAAAAGGCCCCAAGACTATCAAGGCATCTATACACTGAATGTCCTGTTCGGAGTCTTTTTGAATTGAAAATGCTGCCCAATCTCTGCTCCAGGTCCGCTGCTCCAGGTCTGCATCAAAAGTTCAGGCAAAAAGTTCAAAGTTCAGTTCAAAGAAAGTTCATGCTACGATTACGCCAATAAAAAAGAAGAGAAGAAATTTCTAAAGGAACCATTCTATGGTAGAGTTCAAAACATTTTTTGTTTTACTATTAAATATTTCTGGCAAAATCAGCAAATCCCTGCATTGTCACATCGCGCAATTTGGGCGGGGCTCCGATAGTTGCAATGAATATAAGCCATACATGGTCAAATCGCGATTTCCCTTGAAATCCCGGGATGGACGAGTTGCCAGAATGGGATGAATGCGTATGAACAGAATGGGCGATCAAACGAAAGAAGACGAGGAAAGTGGGGCAGCTACCACGTCGCTGAAGCTCGCAATCATGCAACAATCCGTGCAAGACTGCCTCTCCTGGTCCCTCCAATATAAGCAGAATGGGCGATCAAGCGGAAAAAAAAACTAGGAATGTGGGGCAACTACCACGCTGCTGAAGCGCGGAATCATGTCGGCGAGCCCGGAGGTCGAGGAGCAAACTATGCTTTGAGGAATAATCCCAGAACCTTTTTAATGGAATGGCAGCGGAAGGAATTGGCTGAGTCCCCGAAGGATGACAGTGGGGAGTCAATTCCCTTCCTCCAGACCTGAGAATCAGCACGTGGAAGAGGATTTGGGAGATGAAGTCCATGCGTTGCTATTGGATGCAGCTGCAGAGGATGACGCGAGGATCTGTTGTGGAGTGGAAATGTCATCGCGTGAAGGTCACTTCCAAGTATATAAGCTCCAGCCGCTATTCTCATTCACTGCCACTACACAGCGACAACATCGAAGGAAGCAACTGACCTACATCCTTTGCGAGTTTCTCAGTCGTGGAAAGGTGAGCTTCTTCCGTGAGTCTTTCCCATTTTCGACGTTTTCGTGAGGTTTGATGAATCATCATTTCGGAACGCTAACATACTGCACCTGTTTTCGGTAATTGATGTTGATGCTGAGGTCCTCTGGGCCAAAGTCAGAATTAAAATAATTCTATATCTAGGAGCTGAGCTTTCATTTCATGTCACTGTTGTCTCTCGGAGTCTTGGCTCATTTCCGATATAGTATTGAAGTGGGAATTTTTGTTGCAGAGTGGGAGAAGAAAATGAAGGTTCAGCTGGCAACGACAATCTTGGCAACGATGCTCTTCCTTGCCGCTTTGTGGGAGAGTGTTGATGCCGGGGGATGCGAGGAATCAAAGTGCGTTGCCTTATGCCAAAGGCAGAAGTGTCAAACGGGAGCTTGCTTGGGCGAGAAAGGCAGCGAAACCTGTAAATGCAATATTTGTATGGCTTGGAAATTTTGCTGGGGCAGTGCATGTTATGAGTCTGGTTAATGGATTCCAACCCTTTCTTGGAT